AGGGAGTCTGATGTATGCTCAAGTTTGTACGCGTCCGGATATAGCGTACATTGTCGGGATGCTAGGGAGATATTTAAGTAACTTGGGAATGGATTATTGGAAAGCAGCCAAACGGGTCATGCGGTATTTACAGAGAATAAAAGACTACATGCTCACATACAGGAGATCGGATCAGTTGGAGATCATCGGTTATTCTGATTTCGATTTTGCGGGATGCCAAGATAGTAGGAGATCTACTTCAGGCTATATTTACCTACTTGCTGGAGGTGCTATTTCCTGGAAGAATGCTAAACAGACACTCATAGCTACTTTCACCATGGCAGCGGAGTTTATAGCGTGTTATGAGGCATCAAATCATGGAATATGGCTGCGTAATTTTATTACTAGGCTGCGCATTGTGGACAATATAGAAAGACCACTTAAGATATAATTTGTGACAACAAATTAGCAGTGCTGTATTCCAATAACAACAGGAGCTCGACGAAGTCAAAACATATAGAGATCAAGTTCCTAGCTGTTAAAGAAAGAGTTCAGAGTGGACAGGTGTCAATAGAGCATATTGGGACAAACTCCATGGTTGCAGATCCGCTTACTAAGGGATTGATACCTAAGGTCTTTCATGAGCACACTGCTCATATGGGTATAGTGTCTCTTGAAGATATCTAGTTTCAGTGGGAGTTTGTATTTTTATTTTTCATATTAGACACGTGTACTGTTATTTTGGATACGGTTTAAGGTTAAAATTATTTTTAGTTATAAAATTATTTAGTTTATTATCTCTGAACTTGTTTAAAATGATCTCACTAAGGCATTAAGGTGGACCAGTTGGAAATAGGCATGTTAAAGATCACATCACATGTAATTTTCATGCTACACATTCATGCTTGATCCATGTCATTCGGTTATATTGATATACGTGACCATTGATGGGTTTAGCTACATGAAAGTAGCGAAAGCCGCTTTGATCCTATATTGATATGATTGATGGACGGGATTGTTTTGGGGATGCATTCAGTAATGATAGCAAAATTTTGAGTACTCATAAGGTTATGTTTGATGCACAATTATAAGGTGACACATATAGCCCAAGTGGAAGATTGTAAGGATTTTTAATAAATAGATGAGCTTATGTGTGTGAATAATTGTGTGTTAAATTAAAGGCTATCAAATTCGGTTAAACCCAATTAAAGTGATCTAATAAGGCTTCGATTTTTTGGACTTTAATGTATCCAATTAAAGTGTGGGTTTACATATATGTGGAGACCGGCCCAAGTCCTAATTCTATGATGGACCGAATTAGGTCAAAGAGCATTGCTATATAAATAGGTTATGGTCCCCAGATCACACGCACGTATTATTCATTCTCTACTGCATCCCATCACAAAGAGCAAAAGGAGACTGCGTGTAGATTTGGAAGACTATACCGCGAAATTCATTATTGCATTAACCATGTCTGATTCAGGTATACTTCCGTTTTAATTCTTATATTTTTTGATGATTTAACATGAAAGTTCCGGTGATTTAAAAACATTAAATTATCCTACAAGGATGAGCTTTGGTCATTTGACATGGAGGATATTGGTAATAAAGTAATTAGATTTTTAAGTTGTTGAGAATTAGAGTTCCATAAAATTCTAACATTATAATCTACACTTTTGAAACTCTAATCACTTAATTTCAACAAATTAATACAAAGTTGATTAAAAAAGTGTCCTTTGTTGACCATTTTATGTAGATAATTTTTTTATTCTTAATCTTTGCATTTTGTAATATTGAAAAAAGACTATTTAGGAGACATGTCAATTCACAGTTTCACACTACACTTTTTTTGAATTGATGAGATAAGAACAAAATTGAGGACACAATACCGTACACGAAGTAGATCTTTGAATCACTTTTGAGTGCGCAAGGGAATGCGTCATCAAGAACATGTTTGCTTAAGCTTAAAAACATAAAGTTGAGTATAAATAATTATTATTATTATTATTATTTTTTCTAAATAGGCTCGGATTGGTTACAATTTTTAATTTCAAGTCTACTTTCTCCAAAGTAATTTCTTATTCAAAATTAGTACCTCGTGTTTTCTAACTTTTGGATTTATTTTTTATTTTTTTTAAATTTACCTTTTAACTTATTAATAATTTTTTTAATAGTAATATAAAAATTGGCAGGTCTGACCGTCCAAAACGAAAAGCAACAGCAATTAAAGAGATTACAATCTTCGATGGTCCATTGCTCCATCAGTTCTAATCAACTTTTCCAGTGCATTTTCAGCCAGATTGATCCAACCACTGAAAACTCGTTCGACTTAATTAAGGATCTCGATCGATTCCACTGTAGAGGTGATGAACGATAATTTTTTCAAACACTATTTTTAATATTGTATCTTCAGAAAATGGAAGGTCAACAAGAATTTGGTTCGAAAACGAGATAAACATTTGTGTTATTGGAGGACACGTGTTTGGTTGATTGAGGAGTCGATCATCATCAAGAGATTCCCAATCTTTGATGGTCCAATACTCCCACCACTACCAAACCCATTTTCTACATGTTTATTCCGTATATCGTGAGGTATAATTTCTCGGTGTCGATATGGTTCGCCTTTAGTGGGCACTCTCGTGATAATTATTGAAATTTGTAGTTTCATTTTAAAATGTCAATATTGTTAAGAGAGGTGATATAATTCTTTCTATGTTGATCTATATTTCGATAATTAATCGATGTGAGACTCAATTTTTAACATGTCTCTCCAAGATGATGGTTTGTTCGAACAAATCAATATTGAAAATATAATGCTCATTTTAATTTCATATTAAAGTATCAATCATATTGTGAGAAATAAATTAAACTCTTATATGTTAGTCTATATTTCTGTAATTAGTCAGTATGAAAAATTTCCACAATTTTTCTAGTGCATTTTCGTTTGAGTTGAAAGTACGGTCAGTCATCAATTTTGTTTTGTTATTTTACTTCAATTATTGATATCGTTTCAAAGATAGTTATTGAACTTTATATTTATTTTAACATAGATTTTATTTTATTATTATTATTATTTTTGTCAGGATTGTGACTTGTATAACAAAAATGGTGATGTGACTTAGAAAATCTGTTAAGACGACCTTTTTTTTTCTTTGTTCAAGTTGTCAAAAAAAAAAAAAATGTTTATTGATCAAATTAAAATATTATAAGTATGTTCGAGAAGGTTGGTGAGACGAAGACAAAACTCATAAAAATTTGTTCCTTTCATTACATATTTCTTAACAAGTTTGTAGATAACAAGCTTTAAGGATTGTTCAACCATTTGATAACAACAGTCATTCTTTAGCAAATGATTACTATGCAACAGACTCAATTGGTTTGGTCATAAATGTGATGATTTACTTAATAGGCGAGATATCTGGTTCAAAACTAAGATGGTATAAATGTGCCAAGAGAAAGAATAGAAGAAGAAAATGATTAATTCATGAGAGTGGTATTATTTTAACTTAGTTTTCACCCATAAAGAGGTTGCATGTATGTTAAATGGATAATTCTGCAAGTACAGAATTATCATCACAGAAAAAACAGGGTACTCACATGGGGGTGGGGTCCATGTGAGTTTTATATTGGAAAAAACCACACCACCCATCCCATGTATGTGTTTATGTTTTGAATTTCTGTGCCTATTTTGTACTGCCTTTTCTGTACTCATAGCAAAGCCCATGTTAAATTAGAGGGAGCTACTGCAGGTACAGGGGTTACAGACCCTACCAGATAACACACATGCTCAGGTCCTGAAGTATTTTTTTATTTATTTATTTTTATTTATTTTTTATTTTTTATTTTTTTTTTTCATGTGGGATGGCCTCTAGAGTGAGGGGTTGAAAAGACCCTTGTAGGAAATTCCTAAATTAGAAGTAGTCTGACCCTTATTTTCCCTAAGATTTAATACATTTTTCTGTTTTTCATTTTTATTTCTCATAAATAATTAAAATAAATAAATAAAATGTTAGGCTTGGTGTTCGCCCGGACCAACACGGCTCTTCAAAAGCAAGGTAAATACAAATTCTATGGTTTATTCCCCTAAACCGGAAGGTATGGTCTCTTTATTCCCCTAAACCGGAAGGTATAATCTCTTTATTGATACTCTGCCTGCATTTGGTCACTCTGGTCAAAATTACACTTTATTAGTCCTTACATCATTCAAATGGAGGGATCATTACACGTGACAAATAAAATTATGCCATATATCCGAAAAATCATGGAAAAAAAATTATAGGAGAAATCAATGATACCAAAATTTTCCGTTCATTTAAAATTTCGATAAGAAAATTTTATATCTTTTATGAGCTTATAAATTACATTATTGTTATAAACAAAAGAATACCAAGTTCATGTTTGGTTTGGATTATAAAATAAATTTTTAGGCCCTATTTGACAGACTTTTTTTTTGAGAAGAATGAATTTTTGAATAGAAATTTTTTGAAAAATGTGTAATTAAAAAGTATGAACAAATTTTGAGTTTAAGTCAATAATATTTTATTGTTAGAATATGTGACTGAAAATGAGTATCAAGAAAAAAATGGTTTTGTAAGAATGGTTATCAAATAGGGGCTTGTAGATTTTGATAAAAAGAAAAATAGTCAAATGTATGGTTGAAAAGTCGATAAAGTTATGTACCTAATGAAATTTATTTGAAAAAAAATGAGTTTCAAGAAATGGAGGTCAAATGGGAGCTTAGTAATGCTAAATTATTTAAATTTAAATATTATTTTTAAATGTCTTTTGCAAGTAGATTAATATATCGTTAACCTTTTTGCACAATTTCAAGGGGTTCAAGTCTTGAAGTGTTTTTGGCCTCAAAAAATAAAAAAGTCTTCGATGTTTTGTTTTGACTTCTAAACCGTGTTCATGTGCCGACCACCTCCACTTCGCCTTTCGTATTCTTCAACCACGTGTTATGTTGACCCTCCACTGTCCTATAAAAGCACATTCAGTAGTCCCTCCTAATCGGATGAACCAAAAATTTCCACTCCTAGTTCGAATTCGAGAATCTCTCGACGCCGCTGCCACCACCACCTCCTCTTTATATACGGAAGCCCTGAACTCTGCCTATAAAAGGCTTTCGGCGGAAATTCCATAAGTGAAAGTGTCGTGAGAAAAATTATCGACTGACTTATAAACACTACTTATTTTTGGACATGTCAATTAATGATCGTTGGCACGTTCTTTAAACTATAACTACTTTATTCAAGAATATCTTTTAAGTAAATCCCTTTTTGTTTTCTTGAATTTTCATCGACTTCACTCCACCATGAAAAAAACCAGAGGATTTAGGCTGGTAAAGGTGTTCAAATGGTTTACTCACCGGAGAACTGGAGTCTCCTACCAGCGGCCGGCATCTGGCAGCGCCACCAGGGCCATCTCAAAGGTCTACAACTGGTGCCGCTCTTTGAAGCATGGAGCTAAAAGGATTTGCTTAGGGAAACATAAGTCCGGTTACATTCTGGTCGGGGAAGAACCGCTGGAGCCAAAGAACCGGGTGAGTGTGCCCAAGGGGCACTTGGCTGTCTACGTGGGCGATGAAGAAGATGACGCGTGTCGAGTTCTTGTGCCAGTGATATACTTTAATCATCCATTGTTTGGTGAGTTACTGAGAGAGGCTGAGAACATTCATGGGTTCAACCATCCGGGTGGGATCCAGATTCCTTGCAGGAAATCCGAAATTGAGAATGTTAAGATGAAGATCGCCGCCGCCGGTAGCAGCGATGGTGGTGGCAACCGCCGTAGGAGACGGAGTTGGAGAAACAAGTACCAATGATTCATTTTTACCACTTTGAATTTTCTTCGTTAATTGTTGGTCCACTCATGTACAAATGTTTTGACTCTTTTTCAATAGTAAATTTCATAGCTATTGCTTAAATAATAAATTTTTCATTACTTTCAATTTAGCACATAATTAATAGTTGGTCAAAACCTCGTTTAAATCTCTTCTAAATCATTACAAAGGTAGGTTTCGTGTTCCATCTGAAGCAATAAGTCGAGGGTAGTGCAATGTTCTATTTATGTTTAGCCTAAGTATCTAAAGCGATCAAATCATAAATAATGTTGACGAGATTAGAGAATGAAATGAATTATTAGCATACTTGTTGATATTGAACTAGAAGTGATATAAGCATCCATGAAATTTTTATGCTATCTTATTAATATAATAAGGGTCCGTTTGATTGCAATAAATTTTATGGAAAATATCATATCCGAGGAATTCGTTTTCTACTTTAACTGTTTGATACGAAATTGGAAATAGAATTCAAATTTCAAGGTTCAAACACTTAAAGCATATTTCTGGCTAATTCCATGAAAATCTTGTTAAGGGAATATAATCTTATATCGGTTAAATATCGAAATATAGACTAATTTATAAGATTTTGGGTTACTCCACTTAATAAAGTTGACCTTATTAAGATGAACCCCAAATCTTAACATGGTATCAGAGTCTAATAAGCTCTAATGAGCGATTCGATTCGATTAAGTCTTAATTAATGAGCATACAGATTTCAAAATTGATTTGCTCAAACGAGTCACCATCTTGTGGGGACATGTTAAGGGAATATAATCTCATATCGGTTAAATACCGAAATATAAATCAATTTATAAGATCTTGGGTTACTCTATTTAATAAGGTTGACATTATTAAAATGGACCCAAAATCTTAACAAATCAAATTCATATGGTTTTGTCCTTTTCAACTTACACGGAGTTGTTTTACATTTTCCACATTTACAATCAAACTGACCGTAATTGTTGTAATATTTTCACATCTCTCATTAGTATGCAATGTCATTTTATATAATAAATAAATTGGTGAATAAGATTAACGTTATTCATATTTAATGAAAAATAACCTTTTAATTTGTCAATTCAATTAAAAGAGTCCATTACGACTCAAACACAACCAACGAACAGGTGAATCGTGTGGATTAATAATTTGTTTGACCTTGCCATAAATGTCCACAAGTCCATGCATCTAACCTAGTTGAAAGCCCACGTAAACTTCAAGAAATAATGAGTGCACGACCTACTTTAGATCTCTAATTCTACCTTCACTCAATGGGTGTTGTCGTTATTTCTCAGAATTTGACTCGTTTGGTATAATGTAGGTACATATGTTTCATTCCTGTTTTACCCTTAATATTGTTGTTGATGGAAAATATTGTGAAGTTATTAAGTAAAGGGTATTTTGGACAAATTCATTGGTAAAGTGAGGTGCACTGTTCTTTTTAATTTCCAGAAAAAAGCTACATGTACAGATTGAATCTCACAAAATGCCTATAGAATTTTTAAAAAATGATGATGTGGCAGGAGAAAAAGAGGGAAATCTATGTTTTACCTCGTAACCCACCCGCCAAAGCCGATTTCATTATCCCCAAAATCTGCAAATTTAGTATTTCCTTCTCCCTCCTTCTTGCCCTTGAAATGCTTCTTTTTCGTCAAACTATTACTATTGCGATTATTACTATCTCTATCGATTTTGACATTCTCCATGGCCTTCAAATAGTCTCCGAATAATGGCTTGAATTCAAACTCCTTCTTTTCGATAATTACCCCACCGTCATTACCGGAGATGCTGCTTCTTGTAATCCCTCTATGCTTCTTTGTTCTTCAATGAATTCCAATAAAGGGGCTATGAGAAATCGAAAACCTACATGGGAAAGGTGAGCTATGAATTACTAAAGATAGGGCAATGGCTACTTCAGTAAAAAATGCTGCACCCCCCATTTCGATTTTTTTCACTTCGACATAATATCAAAGCTTCGCTGAAACAGAAAATTTGAACAAATAAAAATTGAAAAATTTGAAGTTGATTAATTGCCGAATCGTAGATAGAATGTTATTGCCGTTCAAAACCCTATTCGATTTGTCCTTTTGAAAATCTTGTGTAAAGGTAAGCTGTTTCGCGCGGGTTAGTCCCTAACAATTAAAAAGAGATCAGACGACTGTGTAAGGGACAAACCTCTTGAGACAAAGTCCCAAAAATGGGTGTTTTTTATTGGCGATGACTTTACTATTGGGAAATAAAAACAAAATGCCTCCAAAGGGCGCAAGCACACGAGTTACTGAAAAGAAGTGTTTAAATCTAAACTAAGAAATTTAAAGTTACATATTTTCTGTTTGAGAGTGTTTGATTCGGGGTCTTTTGCTCTATGTCTTTTTTTCTTTTTATACTCTCTGGATGATCTCTTCGTGATCAACCGCTTAAAAGTTGTTTGATCGCTCTATAACTGCCAACTTTCTTCGTAGTGGCCAACTTGTCATGGAACTGCCTCTTCTAACTGCTGTCATTACTTTTTGTCGTTCAACCGTCTTCAATTGAATTCCTTGAATCGTGGAACGTGATAGGGCTACTCAATAACTGCTTCATTAATCGCATTTTTGGGTAACCATAATATCTTATGTTTGCTAAGATTCTGGGCGACTTGAAGGTTTGGGCGAGAACAGGGTCACAGTTCTGGGCGACTATATGGCAATCCATTCGCTCAAATCTTGGGCGACTTGCAAGCTTGAACGATGGTATTACCACGTTCATGGGCTTCCCTATTTGGGCCTTTATCCTGAATTGCCTGATTGGACCGTTCTTTAGGCTATCTGATTTGGGGATCCTCCAATTGGGCTTCATTCCTTGAGCTATTCGATTTGGACTGAACTTTTTGTGTGTCAACAATTACCCCCCAATATGGCAGAATTAATACCAATTATTAATTTTTTGCCATATTCACTTTGTGTTTCCCAGCAACATTCGAAATTCCCAAGAATTTCAATCATTGCTTTCTTCCATAGCCTGAAAAGGTGCGACGTTTGCAAACCCTTATAACCCTCAAATACACGCCATTTCATTGCACCACTAAATCACGCCTCATTTTTTCGCGCTTCTCTTTCGTAATATTACTGTTCATCTTCTTGCTTCTCTGCTACGTTTCTTAAGCAAACTTCAACAAACTCTATTTCGTTCCTAATGGCTGCTTCACAGTCTCAGTCTGATGACTCCTTCAGTTTCGAAGACATCTAGAAACTCCTCACTCGGCCATATATAACTCCGAATTTCTTTGCACCAGCCAATGTCGAACTCAAAGAGTTCTATCTAGGTCCTTCATTCAACAACGTCGAGGTCATCGAACAAGCAGCGGTCGGTCAGCTATTCCCTTGTACTCAAGGCCCTCCGTTTTTAAACTCTTTGCCATTGAGGCCACTTCGCGAAAGAGGTATTCGCACTTGGCCTAAATCTGATATCGTTTTCCGTAGATGGCATGCTCGCCTTGTGGAACATGGTCCTACTAAGACAATTTTTGATAATATTAGGATTTCTGATTTGTTAGAAATCTCTCTTCAACCCCCTATTTTTGAC